CATCAAATTTCCTTTCTAGTGATGTATCACACTCACAGTTTTGTTTTATTTGGGGTACTGATTTCCAATTTTTGTTTTTATGTCAAGTAGGCTATGAATTCTGTGTTCTATGTTCTTGCATAACTTATCGCATGGAATTGGATGTGTACTATTATAGCAGAAAAAAAATTTAATAACAGTTGAATAATACAAATACTGAAAAAAAAAATCAATTGAACTGCTCGAAAATGGCCCCCATTGTTCTCGATACATTTTAATATTCGCGAGCGAACATGATTCGCTGCTTTTCTCAGATGAACTCTGTTTATGTTCTGGAATGTGTCCATCACCCTATCTCGTAGATCATCAATATCTTGAATTGGATCTTCATAAATTTTATTTTTGGCGTAGCCCCACAAGTAAAAATCGAGAGGCGTACAGTCAGGCGACCTTGGAGGCCATCTCACAGGTCCATGGGTAGTAATTAATTTAGCACCAAATTGATTCTCGAGATATTCCCTAACCAATCGTGCATTGTGCGGTGGGGCACCATCTTGCTGAAACCACATTAACTCATATTCAGCAAGTGGTATCTCGTCTATAAAATTCGAAATTTCATTTTTCAATAGCTCTAAATAACGTGGACCATTCAAGTTGTAATCGTAGATTATTGGACCTAGTAGTCTACTGCCTGAAAAAAATACACAATGAGAAACAGTTATTCATGGACCAAAATTCTAGTAAGGTACCAAATATCCCACACCAAACATTGAAACCAAATTTGTTCTGCCACTTTGATTCCCTGATGACATGCGGATTATTTTGTGCCCAGTAATGATGATTATGTTTATTGTAAATTCCATTATTATGAAATTTCGTTTCATCGGTCCAGCAGATATTCAATGGAAAGTTCTCGATTCTTTCACACTGGTTATGGAACCAGTGACAAAACTCGAGACGACGTTCATTATCACCAGGTCTTTACCCTTGTACTATCACTGGTTTGAAAGGGTGGTACTTATCATTCACTAAATGTCTGTGGATTGTTGTTTTCGGCACAAGAGTTCTCCGACTAAGCTCTCGAATTGAAATGGTAGGAGTTTGATTGATGATTCCTTCGATATTTGCAATATCTTGTTCATCCAAGCGCAAACCATACCTTGGCCTAGGTGCAATGAAACTTCCATGCTCTTGCAAATTTCTTCGTAATGTTAGAAAAATAGAAGGATGCGGTTGTTGTCTTTCTGGATATAAATGGAAGTATTGTCTAGCTGTTTATCTGTTATTTCGATTATTTCTGATATAACAATTGTACATATCAAATTTTTCGAGATTTGTGAACGGCATTGTTTGCCCCGAAATAATTGACTTGTATTTTTTCTTGACGTTTACAGAAATGTCACTTGGCTCACCTTTGCTCCAAGCCTACTCTATGAAAGTTGTGCCAGAACACATTATCGTTAATGTTTATAGAGAGCTTAGCGCATAGCCTACTGGACATAAAAACAAACATTGGAAATCAGTACCCCAAATAGAATAAAACTGTAAGTGTGATACATCACTAGAAAGGAAATTTGATGCTGATTTCAAATCTGTGAAAATCCAATATGGCGTCCATAAGAAAAATTGAAGTTGTAGGTGATATCTCAGAAATTTGACATTTTGACGAAAAACTGACAAAACCATTGAAAATAACACTGAAAAGTGCTATGAGAATGTTGAAGTCATTTTTTCATAAAATCAATAGGTTCCGAGATATTCGAGAAAAACAAAAATACAAGATTTCAGTTTTTCTCAAATAACTCAAGAATGACTGAAGCTAGCCCGGATTTCTCGATAGATTATGATTCAACATTAAATTTGCTACAACTTTGCTAATTTAACCGTTTCTCTATCTCTCATAGTTACTGAGATCCCAATGGTGAGGATCGAATTTGGGACACACTGTATATTTTCGAAACAAATGCTTTTATTGAAAACATAGCATAAATGGTGGATGCAGATAATGAGATTTGAAGTTATATATAAATATCTCAATTTTCGAATTCAGTCATTTCGAAAGACTGACTGTTTTGACACTAGCGAATCATCATTTTCACGTTATTGTTATATTGTATGTACGAAAAGAGCCAAAACTTCATGTGGATTTTATTATTTTCACTCCGATTTCTCTCTATTACTTGTTTGTTCCACTTCTGCGGTTGGAGTATATTGTAGAAATACTGAATAATAAAATGGTCCATTCCAGAAATACTGGATTTTGGAGATTGCAAAAGTTTTTGATTGAGTTGATTAAGTTCTGAAATGAATGGCGAAGAAACGAATCAATATTATGAGGAAGAAGTGGCACATCACTACATAACTCTTGAAATTCTGGAGCATCTATTTACAATCGGTGCAACGAATGTTGCCCTACTTTCATTCCATCAGCGGTCACTTGGTTGATTGAGCATATCATGTCAATTTGTACCTCAGCCTTCCGAACTAAGTCAACACATAGTGATTATGTAAATCATGTAACTCAAAATCTGGAAGAATTCTTCGTCTTCATTGCTATCCAAAAACTTACCTAGTGATGACGTAACATTCAGAATGATTCACATAATTTCAAATTCACTTCTGAGCTCTCGCCTCGAAGGTTCAGTATATCAAATTTTGATATCAATTCACGCTATTCATCACAAGTTTTTCTAAAAATCAATTTCCAATGATATATCAATGTATAGTATGTATTATTAATGGAACAAGGCATTCCTGGTACATTTCTGAGGACAGTAGAAGAGAATCTTCAAATGAAGCAGTATTTTCATATGAATACCAATTAGAGAAACTGTTCAGTTCCATTGAAAATAAGATCTGGATTGGAATGGAACAAGGCATTTCTGGTACATTTCTGAGGACAGTAGAAGAGAATCTTCAAATGAAGCAGTATTTTGATGTGAATACCGAATAGAGAAACTGTTCAGTTCCATTAAAAATAAGATCTGGATTGTCTCCATCATCCATTCCCGATTATTTAATAACATTAATTATCCTCAACTGCAAAACGCTATACCAATAAACATATCACTCCTGCAATGAATGCACTTTTTATGTGAGTAATAAAGTATTAAATTCCATTCCATAGATATCACTTGTGAATACCAACTACCTATCTTGTATGTCCTGTCACTGTTTCAATGAATACATAATAAACTACTATACTGATACAGTTTATTTATTTTTTCCACCACTTATCGGAAAAATCACCATTATTCGAGAATTTTCTCTAATGAGAAATAACAATATTCATACCTGGGTAAATATTGATGAATTGATCAATTGATGAAGACATTTCACCTAGGTAGAAAAAAGTTTCAATGATATTATGCAATATCCTCACAGCAACTAACGAAAATGATACATTTTTAAAACCAAATATAGTTGAGACTACAAATCCCATTAGAGCTTTTGAAGTATGAAAAATGTTTGGAATAATCTGATTATTATTAATTCTGATAGAAATGTCACAACACAAATCATACGTGAGCTGTCACTGTCATGTGTGATTTATGCGAAGAATTCAAATAACCATGAATTTCGGTAAGGACACATTTTTTGACCAATCAAAACAATTTCAGCTATAGCGGTCGTTACGATGTGATCAAGATGCCTTTACCCCTTCACTGATTGATCAGTATTCTTCATAACTTCATGCAGGCGGGGTACAAGCTTCCTATCAAAATGAGTGTCTCTTAAATTTTCATACGGTTTCGTTCATTTCATTTCATTATTAAGGATTCTCTCTCCTCGTTTCTATAAAATAAAAATATAAGTATCATTTCAATATATGTGTGGTAGGACAAATCAGAAGATTTGCCCCTAAATGTTACTGCGTTTTACAAATTTTCATATCGGGGAGCCTGAAAAAATCCAATAGCTAGTCAGTGACACATTATTCGAAAATATGTTCGAAGAGGAGAAACATAGATATATTGAAATAATTTCGAATTTTCACTTATCTTTGGACGTTTCGGGAACGAATCTGCTCCCGTTCTCAACATAAAAATGCGAGATATTCTTCTTAGAAAATGTTACTCTTATAGTTCGACACCTCTTAGTGACATATCTGTATGTATGTATAAAAACACATCAAATCAAATGATGTCAATAAATGCTTCTGATAGGCTGATGGTCCATTTTCATCTCATTGATTACTTTTTGGCATTGATAATTCTATATCCATTATTCATCGTACTGTTTCAGTGATCTTTGTGGAATGAATTATGCCCATTGATTCGCCAATGCTGTAAAAATAGGGTAATCTTGATTCACATTAATCCTTATAGGAAATAACCTATTATACTTGCACAATGAAAGTGCAAGAAGTATTATATAATTCGAACAGCAATGAACATGTACTTTTTCATCACCGAAAAATAGTGTTTGCTGAAAACCTCCTTCTCCTATCCTCCCTAGTCACGAACGATGTTTCTTTTATATAATAGGGATTTTCTTTCGTGCATTCTGAAGGATGAGGAGAAGAATTCAGGAGGTCGACTTGAGATAGGTTGTGAGTCTTGTACTGCATTCATTCAAAATGAATACGAAATCGTTCTAGGACATCGAACTACTGTACTATATTTCAAGTGAATGAGAAATCAACTTTAGGACTGACTTTTTTTCATGGTACTATGTTTTCACCTAGATCAACGACAGCATCAGTGAATTCTCCTTCAGTTTTGTCCTCAACAATCTACCTGAATCAATATATTCCATACTTCAACTTCACTATGTTTTTATCATCAAATAGACTAGCTGTTCATTCTTATCAATTGGAAAGAAATTCAGTTATTTATTATAATACTTACCTGCATACCTGTTGAATCATATATAGGAAATAGTTTGTTACTGCATTGTCTCTGGCGTTTCTGACAGTATTTCTATTGATTGAAACACATTTTTCGAATATCTACATAACACTAGTGTTTATATAAATTGGCGAAGTTTGCATAAGATGATGATTATCCATAAACAGTATTATGGAGACGGTTCATCGCATTTACAAGTATTTGATCATAGCCAGTTATTTTTCTTACTGGCAATGTGTTAATGGTGCTGATGATGCAAATGGTAGGTGATCCAATTTCTTCCGACTCTCATTATCTATATGAATTTGATTCCCTTCATCCACATATAATGATTTATATATATATTTTCAATACATTCCAATTCACCTACTTAGTCCAGTAGGATATATTCAAGAAAATGCTTCATAAAAGATTGTCTATTCGTGTTCTTCATTTATTCACTCAGTATATCACTCTTTCGAGTTATAATCCATAATTTTGTTCTCTGTACGAAGGATGGGGTTACCCAAGTAAGATACTCCCACTTGACAAATTTGGAAACAAGAGCTATTATTTTGTCCATTCTTTCAAGGTTGGTATACGTGATAGCTTAGTCCGCCTTCACTAAAGCATTCCCTAATTTTCAGGCAACTTTTTTAGAAGCTAATCAGTTTTGTCAGGATGTGCATATGAGGCTGCTCAGCGTGACTTCTAGAGAAGAAAATACATTTCTTTACAATAAAGTACAGGAATATAGTGAGTATTGACTGAATATTAATATTCAATTGAGATCTGAGAAAACTCAGAGATTTTTTCTGTGAACAGAGAATTTACGGGGTAATAATTTGATCGAAAGGCATTTCAACATTCCGTTGCCGGCAATTTTTATTTCTTCAGCTCTTTCTAATCAGGCGAATATGAAGATTCGCGTAAACTGAAACTCGAAATATAATATTGATGATAGAACGATGAATATCTCAATATACACGGTGTCCCAGAATAATGATAGTATACTCGGGTAGGTAATTCTGCAGGTAAAAATAAAAAAAAAACATGTTTCTATCATGAAAATGATTCCTAAGGGCGCTAGAGCCCTTTGATCCTCAATTGCTGTTTTTTTCAATTATCTTTGTTATCATCGATCCTGAAAGCACTAAGGACCCCGTACCATTCTACGATGAAATTTTGTGGAAATCTAGGATTGGATGGATCAAATCATTCCGAACAAAAGATGTTCTATGGTCCAAGGTCCGTTATGCCCGTTAAAAGAAGTTATAATTTCTTGAAGCCAAACGAGATAATCTCTAACAGAACATCACATCCTACGTATTTGAACCATTTGAACAAAGTAATACGCTTTTGCTAAATGACTTTTACTGACATAACATGAATGACCATGATCTGACAAATCAAAAATATTATTTCAGCCAAAACCATATATATTAACCATTATACACAGGATGTGCTGTTCTGATAGAGGTTATCTCGTTTGGCTTCAAGAGCTTATAACTTTTTTCGACGGGTATAACGGACCATGAACCAAACGACATTTCTTGTTCAGCATGATTTGATCTATCCAATCCTAGATTTAGGTGATTCGATCTCAGAAATCGTTTCATGTTACCAAAAACATGATTCAATATACAGGGAGGTACGAAAATCGTAACAGATACTAAAAAATGCCACATGTTTTTTGTTTCAAGATTTTTCAAACACTTTCATATGAAAATGGTATTCTTGTTGGGATGCCGTGAAAACGAACCGTTGTCGAGAAGATGGTAATTTTTCATTTTGATGTCCATAAAAATTCACAATGATTTTGAACACACGCTGTTCTTAGGATGAAAAAATGTAAATTTGATTGTTAATATTATACATCTCCATGTTACTTTTGTTTTATTATAGGTAATTGTGATGTTAATTTGTTGAGTGAATACTTTTGTGCAAGTTAGTCAATCTCTTTGCAGATATTTTCTCAACAAATCAACATCACGATTAACTCTGATATAACGAAAGTTACTGAAGATGTGGAATTATAATTGAGGAGGGTTTGAAATCCGAAATGAGTTGATTTGAATAAAGTCATATATCCTGTTTGTGAGAGATATAATTCCCAAATCAGTGATACGAATGATTTTTCTTGGAAGTTCCGAGCTCATAAAGAACAGAGTTTATACAAGTATACTATACATTACAATTTTCATTTCAATACTGAACATATTGGTGAGTTATATTTTTATATCATGAAACATCCTATTATTCATCAGATTTGAGAGATTGTCAATTCTCTATTTCAAAAGATTTTTATTTCTTATTCCCTCTTTTTGGATGTTCGACAGATATAATTTAATAATGTTTGACGTGGCAAATAGCCAGGAAAGTAGTTGTCTTCTGTTGAATTTTTAGAATGATGTTTTGTTCATATGCATATTTTCATCTGGAGCATACAAATTCTCAACTATAGAAGATTTTGTGTTCAAATTCTTATCGTGTGTGTTCAATAGATATAATTCAATGTTCGTCGTGGTATATAGCCAGGAAAGTAGTTGTTTCCTGTTGAATCAAATGAGAAAGGATTTTTTCACAGAGCATTCAGTTGATGATTAGCTGTTGAAATACAACAACATATTGAATTAGCATGTTCATTCTAGTTTAATGATAAATCAGATGTGTAAGTTATACTAATAAGGACAAAAGAACTCAAATGCACTTCACGGCTAATTTACTATAGAGAAAACAGTACCTATATCTCTCAAAACTAAGACATACTAGGGTAATCTGATGGATAAAACGTATGTACATGTGCATGTTATACTTTAGTATTCACGGCTCATTTACTAAGGAAAACAGTATATCTCTCAAAACTAAGACATACTAGGGTAATCTGATGAATGAAACGTATGTACATGTGCCTGTTATACTTTAGTATTCAACATTTAAGCCCTTATTTGAAACTCTATTTTCCTTTACTGAAATATGAAGATTGTCCCAAAAATCACTAGGAATGTAAGAGGAGCATGTGGATGAAATACTCAGATCAATGTCTCATTATGGACGAATTTTGCACTTGGGCCCTTTGTGCTTATGACGGCAGTATCGCGAATACAAGTTATCACTCAAAAGATGCAGTGACTACTTCCTGTTCAATGAATTCACTACATTATTCAAATCTATTCCAGAAAAAGACGACGTTTACTGGACCTCGGGCACAAGACTAGTGGACGGCAATGATTATATTTGGTTGTCTATTGGAGAACCGCTCAAATATAAAAACTTTCATGTCAACCAACCTGATAACCCAAACGACTATTGCCTTCGACTGTGGCTGACAAGAAATGTTGATCTGCAATTTGATGACACTGCCTGTTATTTCTCTCTTTACTTCATCTGCGAAAGAGAAGACAACCAGGTAGATCAACCGAATAAAATCAATCAAAGTAAGTAGATACCGAGGTAGTTGAGCCGTTTGTAGAAGTCCAGCATAGTGCTCTGAGTGGAGTGATTAGAGGTCAAAACAATATTTTTTTTCTACAAGCGTGCGTGATTCACCCTATACCCGCACGCAATTTAGTTTGGGAAGTATCATTTTCCCGCAACAATGCGGGAAAATTTTTCCTACACTAGTGCGGGAAAAACAAAAATATGATGAGATCGCAATATATAAGTGGTTGGTGATGGAATATAAAAGTTTGAGTGTGTTTGTTGCAGTATTAAGTATGTATGTTGAAATATTGAAAAATCCAAATTGATTATTATAAAAATCCCACTATAGATTTGGATTGATCTGATGGAAAACGATTATTGTTGTCATGCCAATCAAACCTCTAATAAGTTTGAAATTGTCGAAGTGACAGACACAACGTTACTGTCATTTTTGATTCAGTGGAATTGCCACAATGTGATCAAAAACTTCTAGCTATAGGGATTCGATACAGATGCGTTATTGCCAACGAAGTCTCAAGAAAGGTATGAGAAGCTATAAACGCGTTTTATTGAAAGGTGCAACAATAAAGAAATGAAAATACCGAATGTAGAATAAGTATTTTTGGCTCATTTCCTAGAAGTATCTCAAACCTAGAGACCAAACACCTTATGGGCCTGCTGGCTTCCGCAAAATGAACCTACATAATGCGTCAAACTGTTCACAATAATAATTTGTAGATAGGGAATATATTTCTCTTGTTAGTTGTTCCTATTTGCATGAATAATAAATTAAAAAAATCGATCAATTTCCTACGCTTGTAGAAAAAATATTGTTCCTAAATCATGCGGAAAGTGTCTTTCCCGCACTCGACTGCTTGCCCGAACTCCACTTCGCGTCGTTCTTGTCAACGGCAGTCGCGTGCGGGAAAGAATCACTTTCCGCAAAATTACTATTATCTCGATAACAACTTCTTGCCTTGTCTTGAGAAAAGGTTGAGGAAGTTGGAAAAAATCTTGTCTTGACATATCATTCAACGTCTTGACTCAAGTTATTCCAAGATCTTGAAATTCCTTGATTGGCCAGTGACACCGTACATGGTGATTTCTTGGCGAACTTTTCATAGCGTTGTGTGCCATGGTTGCCATCTTGACTTTTATTTCATCAGTAGGTATACCTTGTCAGAAATTCAGTAGATTTCAGTAGATTTATTTGATGCTAAACAAGTTTCAGGCAAATGAAATGAACCTAGGACTTTAAAAAAATATATCTTTTCTGTGACGGGAAAATGTTCGACAATTCATCTATGTTGACACGTAAGAAAATGTCACTCTTCATGAAATTACTTTTTCCTCCGATTGGCAGCAAATATTAATTTTGCTGACACATATCAATCAGCAAAGTATTACTTTTCCTGCCTAGGCAGCAAAGTGGGTACTTTGCTGCCTAGGCAGCAAAGTGATTACTTTGCTGATTGATATGTATCAGCAAAATTAAAAATCCATAAATCGTTTATAATTTTCTTCATATTCCATCCGAGACTTCTCTGGCAACAAATTCAACTCTATATTTTTTGCCACCTCCCTTATTAATGGAGGTGTAAGTATACTTCCAGGTCGCTATCACTGTCCATTATATAACAATTTAAATATATCGATATTTTTTCGCACAACTGTCAGAAATGTTATGAATTGTCAAACCAACAACTGCGATTTCTATCAAATTTTATTTTAATTGAACACTATACAGGAGGAATAAAGAGATTGTGGGAATTGTATCAATTCGCAAATACAATATTCTCCTATATCATTATGAACAATCGGAGAAAAAATTATATGTTCAACTCGGCAGCAAAATAGATTGACTGCCTTAGCTGGATTCCTAGCCTCGCTACGCTCGGCTATGAATTCAGCCACGGCAGTCAATCTACTACTTTGCTGCCTAGTTAAACAAATAACTATTTTCTGTGACAGGAAAAAAGTTTGGCATTTCATCTCTGTTGGCAGGTTATAAAATGTCACTTTTCATGAATTACTTTTTTCCCGTGGGAAAAAAGTTAGTACTTTTTTCCCGGATATATATCACATATATATACTCTGTTAATGGCTTTTGTTGTGCTATAGTTCCGAAAAATGAGTCAATAATACCGTCTCCGAGAAAGAACTGCAAATCCTTTTATCTTCCATTCGACTTCGCGGTTTCGTATATTACTAAACAACTACTGAATTCGCAATTTTTCAAAATCAAATCACAGAATTGAACTGACAGAAGTGACATCAAATATTTGATTACTTCAAAAGAATGATAAAGATGCCTATAAAACGCAGGTGTCCCTACTACTAAAAACTTGAAATTTCACGTCGATAATTTTCAGATTTCGAAATAATGTAATATCTTCTCAATATTGATTCGTCCTTCCTTCTGTCACAGAAAAAAATAGTGTATTATACACGGGAAAAATATTAGATTTTAGCTCACGGTTTTTTGTCTCCCTCCGCTACGCGTCGGGAGACAACACAACCTGGAGCTAAAATCTACTACTTTTTTCCCTTGTATAATAAATAACTATTTTTCCTGCGAAAAAAGTGAGTTCCCTTCCACCAATATATCAAGCGCTCAGACGCATTCGAGTTCATAATCAGTGGCATCCTGGCATCTTGTACAGACGAACAGACGCGGCAATTTTGTTTTCTTAACAAGAAATCTTGATATTAACAAAACATTTCTTGTCTTGAAATCTATAATTACTTCTTGTCTTGATCTTGTTTTGAGATCAAGACCAGATCAAGCCAATACCTTGGAATTTTCAAGAAGTCGGCTACCCCTAGGAGTGCTGGTGATTGAAGAAAGAGAAAATCTAGAAGTCTTCTCCATGATAGTACATTCTGAGAATTGAAATGCTTTGAGAATTAAACATTCTCCATCCGTCTGAAATATTTTCATCGATACAGTGTTGCCACTTCTATCAGAAACAACTAGCAACATCGTTATTTTAAATGGAGCACCCTGTATTTTATTGCATTTTCAGATTCTTCCTGAAGAGCTGATTTCATCAGAGAATCAAAGTTGTGGTTTAGCATCAGGAATGATTACAGAGATATCGAGAGATATAGGGTGTTCAAAATCGAGATTTCTCAATTTCAGTATTTTTTTGTGTCGAAACTATTCATTATCGATCAAAATGGCTCAGATGTCCCTACCTCAACTCTCGATTCACTATCTACTGGAATTCAATCGGAAAAAATACAGGGTGCTTCAAGATTCAGAATTTTGATCACCCTGTAGCTGTTCCAATTAAATGTCAGTAGATAGTGAATCGAAAGTTGAGATGAGCCATTTTAATTGATAATGAACAGTTTCGTCACAAAAAAATCCCAAAATTGAAAAATCTCGATTTTGAACACCCTATACCTCTCAATTATTTCTGCTAGACCCCACATGTGATACATTGATGTAATCAGCTCTTCAGGAAGAATGAAAGAATGCAATGAAATACAGGGTACTCTATTCAGGATAACGAAGTTTCTAGTTGTTTCTGATAGAAGTGGCAACACTGTATCGATGAAAATATTTCAGACGGATAGAGAATGTTTAATTATCAGAGCATTCCCATTTTCAGAATGTTCTATCTTTTCGTTCTCCAGATACTTCTAATAGGCGATCCACCGTGGATTACCCTGTATATGATTGAAATCAACTAGCAGTAGGGATTGCAGCAAAGTAAAGGTGAACTCATCACAGTTGGTCCGAGCTTACGGAAATGCATATAACCATATGTATATTTTCATCATTTCTCTAAATTAGTTCCTCAAGAAATCAACTAACCACATTATGACCTCTAGGATACCTATGACGATGATGATATATACACCGTGTCCCAGCTAAAATGTCCCCCCTGTAAAAAATCAACCGCACGATCGAATGACTTGGAATTTGTCACTCGAAATATGCTATTGAATAGATCGTAGGTATACAGGGTGACACCAAAGTGCGCGTCAACTTCCTTATTCGAATAGGGACACCCAGTATATTATTCCATATACAAGTAGAGGCCATTATTGAAAATTCAACATTGCCGGGTTCGAAGGGATTTTTCCAAACGACTACGAAGATATGGCAAAAAATAAAACGATTCAATAAAGATCAGATTGTATCAATATAACACGATTGAAATCTAATGATGGGTGTCCTGTACGTAACTAGAGACCCGTAAATGATTATCTCCGCCATCAGTTTGGAGAAAATCTAAAAACCACCAATTATCTCGATGGTGATAGCAACGACTGGTCAACTCGGTCGCCAGATCTCACCCTACTTGATTTTCATATGTAGGGATACTTGAAAAAACAGGTTTATGAGTCGCCAATTGTGAATATGGAAGAAATAGAAGATACAATCACGAATTTGTATTTGTATTTTATTCACCCAGAGACATAAAAAAATTACATGTTAAAAAAAATACATGTTGAAATTCAATTACCATCAATTGGGCAAATATGAGTGGACTTCAGCTGGGCTGATCTTCCAGTCCCCCATTAGAAATAATAATAATATAAATATTTGTATCTACCAAAAATAAATCAAGTGATGCCTATAGATAATACTGAGATAACTAAATTTAACTAAATTTACATATTAAGTGGAATAATGATAAGGAACAATTAGGTGCCTAACAATTTTATAAGTCTACACCCTATCTACTTATATTATACATATACCTACCACGAAAATGGACAGTGAATATATGAGATATAAAGAGGCAAAATCAGGATATAATTGAGGACAAATAGATGAATATATATGGACCTTCTACTCATGACGAACTTGAAATAAATATAGAAAACATATATATATATATATATATATATATATATATATAGATATATTCTATTATAAATTTCATTTTAATATGGTTATGTTTCTTTTTGTTCTTCGAGTAATTTCTTTCGAATTTCATTTTTGAATCTGAAGAAGTTCAAATTTTTAATTTGATCTGGTATGCTATTCCACAATCGGGGAGCAGCGCAACTGAAAGAGTTGTGAAATGAAGTTGTACGGTGTATTGGAATTGTAAAAGCATTCCGATTTCTCGTGCTATGCTCATGGTGGCGTATTTGTAATCTTTCACGTAGATATACAGGTTTATTGAGCAAGATCACATTAAATAAAAATGTTGAGAAGTGAAGAAGTCGCCTGTTTGTCATATTAAGCTTGTTTTGCTGTTCTAGATGTGGACTGATGTGTTCCCTGAAAATAATATTGAAAGAATATCGCATACAAGCATTTTGTACTTGTTGCACACGCTTTGCAACTTCTTGGGTGATTAATGAATGATAAACCACGTCTGCATAGTCAAAAAGTGACAAAATAAGTGAATTACACAGACAATATTTAGTTTGGGGGTTCATGCTATCTTTGAATGGGTACAATGTTTTTAATCTGTAATAGGCAATTTTACGCTTAGCTTCTATGTGTTTCTCGAAGTTCAATTCAGAATCTATCTTTACACCAAGATTTTTGCTGCAGTCTGTAAAATGTATTGGTTCCTGATTTATGCTTATCGCGAAGATCTTGTTCTTCATTTTATTACGATTACCCCGTGATGCAAATATCATTGCTTGAGATTTAGTAGGGTTTATGACGAGACTATGATTTTTTGAGAAACATTCGATTGCTGATAGGTCAGAATTGATTCTTTGAATTGCTGCTATGTAGTTTTCAGGTTTGAAATTCAAATACAATTGCGAGTCGTCGGCATATCGGTGTAATTTACAGTACTGTAGATCCCTGTCCATATCAGAAACATATATAGAAAATAATATGGGTCCCAATATAGAACCTTGGGGTACACCGTTTGAGATGTAATGACACGCTGAGGAGACACAACCATTGTCATTAACAAGAGACACGTATTGCGACCGTCCTGCCAGACCAAGCAAGTCGCATCTCCATTCTCTATACCTTTTTTGATATCGTCTGTTATATTAACAAGAGCGGAAGTTGTACTGTGATGTTTCTTGAAACCTGATTGATGAAAGTTACTTATTTTGTTATTCTCTAGAAATTCGGATATCTGATTATTTACGTGACGTTCTATTATCTTTGAAAGAACTGGCAAAATGCTGATAGGTCGCAGGTCACTGATATGTTCCGGATTTGGGATTTTGGAATTGGTTTAACTTTGGCCTGTTTCCATAATGATGGGAAGCAGTTGCGGTCTAGAGAAATATTTATTATATGGGTTAAAGCTTCCACACAAAATGGTATGATGATTTTAATAATTTTGATAGAAAAACCGTCGCATCCCTCAGCAGGAGTTTTTATGTTCTTGATAATATCTTTGACTTCTGTGCTTGTAATTCTCCTAAATGTAAGTAGATCATCAACATTTCCATGTAAGTGAGTATTATAATAGTGCATAGTTGTGAATTTATTACGAATAACCAGGATATTATTATTTGAAAATATATCATTCATTTTGTCTACATCTTGTAACTGTTTCGGAATATTGAAATTCTTCGGCTTCAGAAAGTTCAATTTAGAAGCATTTTGCCAAAAACTATTTTTATTCGATGGTTTAGATATGAAGTTGAAATAAGCCACTTTTTCTCTTTTAATTGAGTCATTTGTAAAATTCTGGGAGTACAGCAACAAAAAACAAAACAAAAACTTGGCTGATAAGGTTTAACCACAATGAATTCTCAATCTCTGAGTACGTGCAACAAGTCTATTTAACAAGTTAGTTTTTGGATAGAAGTGTCGTAACTTACTCAGTGAGATAAGCAGACTTCAACTTCACTAACTAGCAGAAGCACTATTTACTTTCGGTGTGTATACTCGATTTTTCCCAGATATATAAGGGAACCAAAAATTATCGTGTTTATAGGCAGACGACGTTGCCACGTTACTGTGCGCTGTCACTTCTTAACTCACACAAGTCTCTGACTTTCGAGGGTTGCTTTGCAACTAAGCTGGCGGTTAAAAACACTTTTAAACACACTTTTTTTAAACTTGTGCGCTCAAATTCATCACAACGTGATACATAGGGTCAAAATGAACGTTATCAAAAGAGCTAGGAAATGTCTGCAAAAGAATGGACGACATTATTGAGCAGTTGAGGTTCAAATTATTTTCTTTTCATCCGATTTCAATCGTGGTATATTAATAAAATCGAATCATATAAATATTTTATTGAATCGTTTTATTTTTGCCATATCTTCGTAGTCGTTTGAAAAAATTCCATCAAACCCGGCATTGTTGGATTTGTTATAATGCGACCTCTACTTGAATATGGAATAATATACTGGTTGAACCTATTCAAATAAGAAAGTTTAGGTGCACTTCAGTATGACCCTGTATACCTACGATTTATTTATTCAAGCATATTTCGAGTGAGCATCATCAATTATACTGGGTGACCAAATCTCAAGTCATTCAATCGCGCGGTTGATTTTTTACAGGGGGGGACATTTTAGCTAGGACACGGTGTATAGTTATCAACGTTGCAAGGCTGATAGGTAGCAAATAACTGATGCGGTCGAGTATTGTTATCCGAGGCGCAACCCAGGATTATAACAACCGAACCCTTATGTGCCTATCGGCAATGTGTCGTTCAAGACTTCCCATAATCCCGCTGAAAGATTTCAGGGCAAACAACAAACTACGTGCTCTCTAATTCTACAAAAAATCTCAACATCGTGTTGTCATGGAACAGGTCAACAAAATTACAATGATATTATAACGGCTGCCGGTCGTTAAACGATCTTAACGGATGGAGACTGTTAACATCAACTTTTCAATTGTAGGATTACGGAAATTCATATCGAACTCTCTTTCAGATTGGGAAAATATATTCGAAGACATTTCTACGGCGCCTGATGTCAAATTGTTCTCCTACAAAAACAAGAGCTACTATGTCAATCATTATTTCGAAGTGAGTATTCAACAAAGAAATACTTCAATGCAATTCCTCATCTCCGCATATAAGAGATGTTACAGTAAAGCCCAAAGAGATTCTACTTGTCACAGTTATACATAATATATCTATGAAGTGACATATACATCAACCTTTTCCTGAAAGGTATGTTAGACATCTTTTGACTCCTTGAGACTGAAAATATACACACAACTGCATAGCATGCTCTGAACTTTGACTTCGATAGAAATCTCCAAAGTTGTTACATGAATCATAAAGTCTATCAATGAAAGTTGATTAAAATTATAAATGAGTATGCCCAAGTGATGCCTTCATGAATCGATCATGAAATATCAGTTTGTCTTGACACAATTCTGACTGTATCATGTAATACTAGCATAGAATTCACAGAAATACTTTGTTCTTGTACTCGTGCTTGTGACCGAACTGTGCTTAGTGTGAAGGCTGAACCGTGTCTTACGAATGAGTATCGTTCATGGCAATCATGGCATTTGAATTTTAATTTGAAATTGAAAATGTAGACGTACCTGAAGTTGGTACCTAATCATTTGAAAAGAAATTGTGATCATACTATTTATCTTAATCCTATTACCTATTTGTCGTGATGGTCCGCAAGTCCCATCATTGAGTTTTAATGTGATTCTCCAAAGAAAGATTGATGTTTTACATGAGTGATTATGCTGATTCGATATGAAAATGCCTTCGCAGAAACTCTGTGAACAATAAATGTAGATTCATATTTTGAGATACAGAAATAAGTGACGATAAAACTAGACGAATATTTACAAACTGAAATTAGAAGTTTAGCGTCCCTACAACCGCATCCTCCATTGAACTAAACAAAAATGTAGAAACATTGAACTTTGATAATTTTTCCTAGGCGACTTACCTACAAGCAGTTCAGTTTTGCCAGCTTGTTGACATGGAACTGCTCTCCATAGAGTCTGCGGATGAAAATACTATGTTGTACCAAGAAATACGCAGTAGCAGTAAGTCTATCTCTAGTACACTCTCAAATTCATCGTTGTGATTTCCTCAATTCATTTCTAGTGGCTGGAAACAAATTCTGGTCATCTGGTACTAGACTGATCGACGATAACAATTGGTACTGGTTGCCAACTGGTAACAAAATAAACTACTATAATTGGCAAGCAAGCAGGCCGGTGAAAACTTCCGACAGAAAGTGTATTCAACTCAACCAAGATATCAACAATGGGCTCTTCTGGAGTGATGAGAAGTGTGATGGCAAGTCGTACTTCATATGTCAAACATCTACGAAAAATATCCGTACAAGAAATTGCCCAATTTCCCCCACAGGTAATTTCATCATTCGATGATCTTTACGGTTACTATCAAACCATCCATTCTTATTGATAATCATTGCATTTTGACAGGTAATAGCTGTCCTGTTCAACCTACCACTCCATCAGCCACTGTGGTTCCCTCCCCACACCCATCAACTGTCAGGGAGAAGAAATATTACTTTGGAACTGAAAGAGTAGGTATCACATTTCTCTCCGATATTCATTCACGACGGATCTATCAGGATATCAACGAAGCAATAAAAAATCTAATTCAATTTTATTATGTTTCGTCCCTATAAATTACAGGATGTTATTTTGGAAACTACGGTGCTTTCATGGTTACTTAGCTTGAATGATGATCCATTCCAAACGAATTCGATTCATTGAATCCGAGATTGCAATTTCTTTGAATTCTAGCTTACATACAACGAAGCAATTAAGTCTTGTCAGGATAAATCCATGCAGCTTGTCAGCATCCAGAATAAGGAACAGAATGATGCTATAAATACCCAGCTACAACAAAGCAGTAAGCAGATATATCCATGAAAAGTGTATCAAAAAGTGGTCTACATTTTCACAATATCATTACAGATATCAGTGGAAGTTACTGGACATCTGGAAACAGAATAGCAGACAAGCAGACTTGGTACTGGCTGAACAACGAGAAGATAACCTATTTCAACTGGGCCCCAGGAGAGCCCAACAACCGCAAGGAGAATGAGTATTGCATCGAGATTTCCAGATCCATCAGTGATTCCAAGTGGAATGACGATCCCTGTGAGAAAAATAATTTCTACATCTGTGAAAGTTGGATTGAAACACCTGGACAGGGACAATGCAGTGGCAGTTCGCCAGTGGTCAACATCTACGTCAACAACAACATCGTCACTGCCAATGGTACTGTGTTCGACAGCAACAGAATATCCACAACATCCAATACCAAGCCAGGAAACGGCTTGGAAGTCAATAACAACATAATTGAGCCTGGCATTGCCCCGGTAGCTGCTACTACCAAGTTACCTGTAAAGACCAAAGTTAATCATGGGATTTACAGGGAACATTCTACAAAACATAATAAAAATTAAATGTTGTTACACTACAATAAATTGATGAGCATTATTTCGCTTCGTTTTAATAGACGAGTAAACAAATTTATTTTTATTCCTTGAATAGAATCATCAGTAATATACCTTTCAATTTCGAATTCGTTTGAAGTTTTCGATCGATTTTAAGGTGCTGAAATCAACAATGATGCCACGGTAATTTTCAATTCTCAACATTTCCAAATCGGACATAAAAAATAATATACATGTAACAAAATATCGTTACCTCTACACAGAGGGTTTTGAAAATGTTCACTAACAACCATTATCTCGGGATATAACTCCCCAGGAGGCTATTTTTGGCCTCACATTCATTCAAGAAACAATTCTCGAATGGGGATCCAATAACTTGGTGGATTTCAATGCAAACAAAACACAAGCATGCCTTTTCTCTAGAAAAGTCGATCTCACTGTGCCCAACATGAGCTTGTCAGGAGTAACCATACCTTTGAAGACATCTATTTCGATGTTTGGTATTACTATGAGCAATAACCTCTCTTGAAAAAATCACGTGAGATCAATTGCTAAAAGTGCATCCCAAGAACTTGGATTTCTATTTCGGGCCAGGAGCTATTTCACTTCCAGTCAGCTGCTTATGATCTATAAGGCACAGATCCGACCAGTCCTGAAATACTGTTCCTATATTTGGAGTGCAGCACCCAAACATACCCTGAAGCTGTTGGATTCTGTCCAAAAAAGGGCAATTCGTCTCGTGGGTGATGCCTTGCTCACAAGCTCACTCACTTCTCTGGGACACCGTAGAAAAGTTGGCGATCTTGTTCTATTTTATAGATATTTTCATGGACGATGCCCTTCTGAAATATCAATAATTGTTCCTCCCTTGGCAGTCCTCTCGAAATTAACCCGTCGAGTTGAGGCTCCGCACCCCTTCGTGGTCACTTTGGGGACCTGCAGAACATCTCTTTCCATAGACTCGTTCATCCAACGAACAGCGAGGCTCTGGAACACATCAAGGGAGGTGTTCTTCGAGGCATATGACCTCCGGAAATTCAAGAAGATTACCAATTCCTACCCCATTTCCTTTGGTTCTCACGATATTCTCTGAACATTACAGGATATCCCTTTTCGTGGGGACCAGCATATAAAAAAAAAAGATAGAATCTCTGCTTGAGTATTTCTATGTGATCTCGAAACACCCTGTCTATAAGGTGATTTGTTTTCTAAGTAACTAGGTTTTCTGTCTCTTCTGGGTGCTATAGCACCAGGCAGCAAAATCTTTAGGGCAACAAAGAAAATATAGACTTAGGCAATATTCAAGCACAACTGCACATCTTTTGCGGATCTTTTGATCACTACGAAAAGTTAGGGAAGGCATTGACAGGATCAAAAATATACAGGGTGTTATTTAAGTACGTGGCCAAACTTGAAGGGGTGATTCTTTGGGTGATTCTAAGACGAAAAGTTCATATAAACATAGGTCCGGTAATGCTTCGTTTTCAAGATACAGGGTGTCAAAATTTTTAAAAGAAATCGTTTTTTTCGTAAATATCTTAACAACTCTTCAACCGATTTTATTGAAATTTGGCAGTGTTATTCAAGGTCGTCAAGGGCTAATTCAACATTAACTATATCAAAAATATTAGTAAGACCCCAGTTTTTGATGGTTTGGTAGTTGAAATGTTTTATTGTGTTGTCACAGGGATGTGCAATTAAGTGATTTTTATGTTTTTTCTCAAAAACAAAGCAAGATACGAAAAAAATTCTAGATATGAAAAAGCTGTAATTTTAGTTGCTCAATGTGAAACAAATACAAAAATTGCAAAAAATCAGTGGCGCACATTTTTTCTGTCAAAAATATTGGTTACAGTGCCTTCCGGGACGCCACTGGACATGATAATTTTGATATAGTTAGGGTTAAATTAGCCCTCTACGACCTTGAATAACACTACCAAATTTCAATGAAATCAGTTGAAGGGTTATTAAGATATTTACGAAAAAAAACTCGAAAAAAACGATTTCTTTTAAAAATTTTGACACCCTGTATCTTGAAAAGGAAGCATTACCAGACCTATGTTTATATGAACTTTCCGTCTTAGAATCACTCAAAGAATCACCCCTTCAAGTTTGGCCACGTACTTAAATAACACCCTGTATGTTGAGAAGCGAAACATCCCAAGAAAAGCTCAATTAGGAGAAAGAATACTGAAAACAGTCCGGAGTGAAAAATTTAGGAAACAATACTTTATTTCAAATAATAAATAGTTTCAACAAAAAAATTAATACCTACCTCCTCTCCCTATCCTTCCATGGTACGAACAATGTTCTTCGAACATTATATGAATTTCCTCCCGTGCGCTCCAATAGATAAAAAAATATGAAACATAATTGCTCAGGTAAAATATTTCTTCCGAATCAGATATACGTGCCAAACTCATGGAAATTGTAAGCTTTGAGGTAGTATTGAATATGATCTCATTAAATGTGAACTCTCTCAATCAGCGAATCGAATTGTGAGTTTGGTATGTTTCCATTATTCAGAAAATACCACAAAAGGAGGCTGTGATGCAAGGATGTATGGGCAGAGTGGATTGAAATATGTATTATCTCTCAACATGATGGGGCACCTCCACATTACTCAAAACAAGTGATCCAGTGAATACCTAGACCATTGTCGATCTAAATGAAAACCTAGTAGGCGACCTAGTGCGAGGAGGTATAATATTGTCTGTTCATTCAATCAAAATATGTCTGTCTGTCAAGTGGCGCTGAAGAAGAGAAATTGGAGAAAGCTCATTTGTTTATGTCAAAATAGACCATATTAGGTTGATATTCTCTTCTTCTATTTTTTTCCAATATGTACTCAACCACAGATGTGCTTTCCATCATTGACGTGATATCTGATACAAAGGCGATGAAGAAGATTCTTTCATGAGATTGAAATGTCATAATCAAAAAATTATTTTCTGACAGTTGTCATCAACTTATAACCTCGTTTTTGTGAATATGTTATACTTTGAATTCGTATTCTTGAAAACTACAATTATTCCTAATTATTTCTTCTAGTATTGGTTTTCTTTTGCAGTTTGTTGATTGGTTTGTGAGTGCGATTGTATTATTTTGCAATGTTATCTGAAAACTTCGCACTCCAGGAGGTGGAGGTGTGAAATTATCAAGACCCGGTTTCCCCTATCCTCACTGTTGTGAATTTGAGCCACAAATCCTGAGGCATCAACGAGTTTATGCCATATTCATTGGATTGCAAGGTGAAATTTTTTTCTTGAATCGCATAATATTTGAAACTTGATGCATTGATATTTCAGGAATGGGAGTTTTTGAAGTGAGCGAACATGATACTGTATGTTTCCAACATTTTAAGGGAACTGTTTATTGCCAATGAAGAATTGGAAACGGTTTTGGAAGGAGGGTTCGGTTCCAAGTTTGTTAAAGGAAGGAATATATAAATAAAATGATATTTAACAAGTCCCTACCTATACAAACTCTTTGTAGCAATCAGCTTATTAGTTTCTAGTTGACTGGAACTATTAGTTTCAGTACAAAAATCACCAAGAACTTGACTTTGGGACCTCTTAAAACTGTTCTATAGTCAATTGTCATTAAATTCATTTCAGAATGGTACAGATCATTGAAACTGGGGACAAAATAGATATCAAATATTCTTATAGTTTCAGACTCATCAATGTAGTTTGGAATATGATGCTGAAGAGGAACTCCTTCCTTAAGGAACACGACCTGAAGATTAAGAAGCATCTGAGGAGGAAACGGGCATTTGAACAGATATTATAGAATGATAATAAATAATAATGAAGTTTATTCAAAATGATTACATAATATAAATTAAAAAGTTATACATATTGGTATTGAATATTCCTATGGAAATGAAAAAGTTATACATATTGGTATTGAATATTCCTATGGTTCAATTTGTGGCAATTATAGACACATCTCCCCATATTTAGTGAAGTCAGTGGATAAGATGATTTTATAAAAAATAATCATTGTTCAGCAAAACATATATTCTACCTATATACCTTTGGTACAATATATATAGTGTTTTCAAACTTACCTGCCAATACATCTGTACAACAATAAACAGGGTATCAGAGGAGAACAAATTAGTAGAATAAAAATTGCAACAATTCTTCATAATTATATTCAATTCATCAAAAAATATATACTGTATTGTCATTCGTACATATACAAGTTATTTTCCAATAAAAAAAATTCTAAATATCCCAGCATCTTGATATTTTGTGTTTGGAGCAGAATATCCATAAGACATTGATGAAATAAACAGATTGAGTCTAACCTTATTGCTTCTATATATTCATTTCAGATGGGAAATTTTCCATTCTTGTTCTCAAACATCATCATCCTTCTGATACATTTCTTCTGAACATTACTCACATAATGATTCCTGATGTGATTCTTCCACATCAATTTGTTTGTATCACTCATAGTTTTTCGTTTTTCAACTGAAAAGCTATTCATGCAGGTACTCTTCGCTGTAGGTAGGTACCTGAAATTTTCAAGTATAGTGATTCCGATGTGTACATAGTTTACATCACTAAAGACATGTTTTCACTGCAAATAACGGAATTCCATGAATTATATAGTAACTTATCAAAAATATAGAAGAAAATAAGCAGCTCCTACCTTTCTGCTTGGCTTGCATGTCGAAAAAGTGTGAAAGCATTGATGAGTTTCCGAAGTTTCCACAGTTCCAACTTAAATTCAAGTTGCATCATAAGTCAACCTGATACAGCATTGCCTAAACATCTCCCTGCTTCCATTCAAGTATAGGTAGATGGTTTTCATACTCGATAATATCTTCCGTGATAATGTTTCATTTTCGGGTTTCAACATGACAGATTTTTATTTACAACCTTGACAGGACCATGAAAAATGTTATGGGTTAGGAATAAAATATGAATAACTTAGTTTACTTAGTTCACGTAGATGTCTCTGAACTACATATTTTCTTCAATTGTCTTTTCAATGAA